AAATATTGAGTACTTAATACACATGAGATTTTATTAATTCATCCTGTTACAAGGCAGTGATAAGTTCTAGTCCATAACAACTTAGTTCATGCCCTTTTTAGAACTTCAAAGCTATCAGGTTCTGATCCACTCCTTGATAAGTGGCTTGAAATTTTGATTTAGTAGAACCAAGGGAGATAACAGAGACCAAAAGTTCTTATTGCAATTTCAAATACCAATTGTTCTTAATTATTTCATACCTCTGTTCCTTACTTCTTGAATATAAACTATGCTGTCTATCTTGTCTTACTTTTAATATGTGTTGGGGACAAAGGGAGGTAACATTCATAGGAATAGGATATTAAATAAGCTCAAAGTAACACTGTCAACCATGTTGTTTGCAAAAGTAAGTAAACAGTTAAAAAAAAACAACAGAAATATATTAGTGTAGCTAAAATCTCCCCTTCCTCTCATCAATTTTCATTTCAAAGGTAAGATTTATAAATTCATGTTAATCTCAAACTAAGAAACAGGGAAGACCACCTCAAGTTCATTGCAGTGTAAGCCAACCGCCCAGAGCAAGGCCTTCCCTAGAAGAGAGAAGGGAAGACAGTTTATTGGACATCTGCTGTATAGTAGCATGGTTTAAGTACTTCACTTAAATGATCTCTAGGAAAAGCTACATGTGCATCTTATTTTGGAGTCCTACTGATACATGGGAAACTCTAACTCCTAGCCTGCTGGATGTCAGATACACCAACCTTGTGTCCCATGCAATTGAGGAATGAATTCTAAGGAACTAATGGAGGTTAAGAGTAGGAAAGAGTTATTGAGCGATAGCTCCTGAGACACGGGAGGGGATTTGAAAGTGGGTTACCACTGAGGTCATTTCTCTAAAAATGTTTCATACAGCAAAATCATGAGGTGAGTGTAACACGGGTCAAACTGTAATCAACCAATGATATTTCTAGAAGCACAGCTAGTTAGTTAATATTGATCCAATAGGGAAGCAGGTCATGAAGCAAGGGTACGTGGAAAGAACAAAGGCATTTTGCGGAAAGGATGAATCTGATGCTCTGCTCACCCACCTGGCGATTGATGTCTACCTGGAGTTTAGTGGGCCAGGTGATACCAATTATAGTATAATTTCAAGTTACTGCTTTTCCCATAGGGAGACATGTAGGTCTGGGCATTGCATCTTTATCTTGAGGCCTGGTCTTCTTCAGATGCATCTCCAGCCACAGTTCTGATATCTTCATTTTTCTGCTCACTTTCATGAGAGCCCAGTCCCTTTCTGATTGTATATTTATTTCTAACATAGCTTTCTATAGTATTATCACACCCTAAGATGATGTCAGAGCCTGAAGGGGCTTCTTTTTATCTTTGTCATTTCTCTCAAAAGAGTGTTCACTGAATGCCAGACTTCTCACCTCCCTTCTTTCCATTCTCACACTTTCTGCATCCCATGCCTTTGCACTCAGCTTGTATGTCTAAAAATACAATCCGCATTCAGAGGTGTCACGAAGATATTGCTAGTATGAGGACACCATCTCTTAATTTAAATAGTAGTTTGAAGGCAGAGATTTTCAGATACTACCAGATTCAGTGGGAGAGAGATTTGGAGAACTGAATGGCTATTTTGCTACTTCTGAAGTGACACCCCTTGTAATACCTGTCTACAGGGCTTGCTCTGCTTACATTATAATGTCAAGCAACATGTGGCATAGTTTGACTCCATGGGAAAGGTAACCACTTCCATCACCATTATCAGTTCTCTTGTATCTGACTACAGTAAAACAATGACCTTTTCAGGTGTTAAAATGGGACATTAGCAAAAGTAAAAAGAGTACAGGAGAGAAAAGGTCAGCTGAAAGCAACAACATTTCACTTATGAGTTCTCTGAATAAGTGGAGATAGCCTCAAAAGTAATCTTTTTTTCCTCCTCTGACTCCATGATTGGCTCTGAATTTCTAGCCTACTAAGGCATGTTTAGCAAAAGGATAATACATGATAATTAGCAGTACTATACCTGTCTCAGATTCATTCATGTAGTTTGTAATAATGTTTTCTCTTTTTCAAAAGATTCTAAAGCTCGGTAATCCACTTCATCTATTGTGAAATATATTGCACAATTGTTGTAATTAACATTATTCAAGTCCTATTTGTATTTATGGATAGTGTAAGTTTATACCTTTTAAAAAACCCATTGTTTCAAAGTAGAGATAGCTACAAACATGATTTCTATACTTTTAGGTTCTGATAAAAACATTTTGATGTAAGAAGGGTTCACTTTTCTAGAATATGAAAGTATATTCAAATAATTTGGCTTAGATTTTAAAAACAGTGTCAAGGTACAAAGTCAACAGAATTCATTTCCTTTTGTTTTCTGGAACTCTTCCACTGGCTAAAACTTTGAGTTGAACTTCACAATTAATCTTTTTTTCCCTGACAAGAGCACATATCTAAAAACTATGTTTATGATTTTATAATTTAGCCTTTCTGACAAGGAACAGAGCCTTAGACAAAACACCAACAGCTTTTAAGAAACCTTCTATTTGACTTTTATATTACCAGACAGATTCAGAATCTGAAGTCATAGAATTTGATGCATTATTAGGTTCAGAGTAGTTAACTAAAGATGTGACTGATTGATCCAAGATGATTAGAGAAAAAACTATGGTCAGGTTAGCTAAAGTTTGCATAACTTCTACAGGTTGTACAGAATGTTCCATCTAGGATGGAGGACTCTCTGTCTTTGCCATGGAAATTTATTCCAGTAAACTCTGATACAAGCAGGGCTGCACACTTCTCTCCCTGTCTTACTGGCTTTAACTTTGGGCTTTGCAGATATCCATAAAGAACGATGACCAGTGGCCATCTTTCATTCCTTCCTAACACTGCTGTATCTGTGCCTTTGCTCACTACACCAACCACTAATTCCACATGCTTTTCTCTTCAACCTACCTTCCCCACTTAGCTTACAAGAAGCAGAATTCAAGCTTAGTCTTTGACAACTAATTCAGGTGGTTTTCCTCTTACAACAATTAAACTTCAAAGACATACAAATTTTGAAAATGAAGCACCATTTTCCAACATGCTTCCTTGAACACTAGACTCACTATATTATTTGGAAATCTAAGATTTATCATAAAATATGCATGGTAAATGCATTTTGTGTAAGGACATGCACATGAGTCTTGGGGGCTTAGGGTAGAATGGGTTCAGACCTTGGATGACCCCCCAAGAGCCTCATATACTCACAGGGGGTGCTTATGGGAGGTGGAGCTGGGCCATAAGCAATAGGTCAGGAGAATGTCATCTGTAAAGTTTAACAGCCTTCAATGGACAAACAAGAAATTTCAAACTCTGCTTTAAACAGCTATTTCAAAAGACAACTTCACAAATTCTCAGTTCAACATATACCAGCTGTGTGATCCAGCAATTCAACACTGAGGTATTTTTCTCTACAGAAAGGAGAACCTGTATCCATACAAACATTTGTGCAGGAATGATCAAAGCAGCTTTGCTTTTCATAGTCAAAACTGGAAACAGCACAAATAGCCATCAGAGGTTGGATACATGAACAATCTGTGGTTCATCCACAAAATAGCATATGATGGCTCAAACACTGACAAGAAAGTACACACATGAAAACCAACACAGTTATACTGATGGAAAAATCTCTACCAAACACAAAAACCAAACCAACCAAACCAAACCAAACCAAACCAAATCAAACCAACCCAAAACAAAACAAATTAAAACACTACATGCTGAGCAGTTATAGCTGCCTACATCTAGACACTGTAAACTCATGGGAGGACAGGAAGTGATTGAAGTGCTACAAGCAAAGTTTCAAAATGATGAATGTGTGTGGATGCATCATCACGACCAGGGTGATGGTTTCAGTACCTACACAGACCACCGCCCCGCACTCTGCATATCCTGTCCCACCTCACTTGCTGTCACAGCACTGGATACTACACATTCCTTCTGTGCTCAATAGCTAAGGGTGCACACTTAATCATTCCTATGCTCCAACAACCTGTGACCTACACACTACCACCCCAGGGATTACGATGTGAAACTCCCATTTTCATCCCTTAAGTAAAGTCATTGTGGAAATTTCTGGAATGTCTCAATACTCCCGATTTAATTGAAAATGAGAATACAATTGAGGCAGATAACAAAAGCATCCTAAAATTACAGAGCTTTCCAGGTGTAAATAGAACACTGCATGTTTAGAGAAAATGGCTCCTTGGCATGGAAAAGACCCCTCAGCATTGTGCCTGCCACATATAAAATTTCAGTGCATATACGTTGCCTTACACGTTAAAATGTCAGTGGGGGGTAGTTGTGCAGGCCTGTAATCCCTGTACTAGAGAGGCTAAGGCAGGAGGACGGTTGCAAGTTCAAGACCAGCCTGAGATACAAAGTGAGTTCAAGGCCAAGCTGAAGTGCATATTGAGACCCTGTCTCAAAAAGCCAAAAAAAAAAAAAAAAAAAGTTAACATGTCACCAAAGCTTAAAATCAGAGCAACTTTCTTAGTTTCTCTTTTGCTGTCTCTGCATAGCACATGGAATCAGGAAAGGTGGAGCATGACAGTAATCACAGCATTCTGGGTGGCTGATGCAGGAAGATCACAGGGACAGCACAAGCTCAATTAAGTGATTTAGTGAGACCTTAGTCAGTGTCCAAAATAAACAGTCTGAGGATGTAGCTCAGTATGAAGACAGTGGATTTAATGCTCAGTACTACAAACATAAACAGTAAACAGTAAACAGAGAGATAAATGGATACGTAGATAAAAAATAATGATAAGGAAATAGCCACTGATTTATTTCACTATGCATATGAAGATTGGCCATAGGGTCTCCTTATGGAAGGCGGTGCTCAGGTTGTGGACCCAAGACGTGACCTCACTTCCTTGGCAACATGTCTACATGGAACTTGGAACCATTGTGAACACGCATCACAGTAGGGTGACAGCTACGTCTTGAGCTCACTCAGCAAAGGACTGCGAACAGCAGACATGCTGTGCTGTTTCCCAATCTCGCGAGGCAACAGCCTCAGGACTTCAGGCAGAGAAAGCATCTGTAAACGACTCAGAAGATGGTTCGCTTCATTCAGGCAACCCCGGCCAAACTGCAGGAGCGATACAACCATCACAGGAAACCCAGGGCAGGGCTCCACAGGGATGACCACCACGAGCCAAGAGCCACTAAGGAGCCTGGGACAGATCTCGCCAGGCTCAGCTTCCAGATTCAGAAACATCCCAGAGCGGCCAGGGAAGGGCGGCCCAGAATGCGGCACCAGGTACCCTGAGACACTCAAGGGCGAAGAGAAGGTCTCTGTAGGCCCAGCTACCAAGCAGGAAAAGGCCCCCAGGGACCTAGGAAAGATCAGCAAAGGCCCTGATCCTATGAGCCCAAAGCAAACAAGGAGCCAGGGACAAGTGTTCTCAGGCCTCACCATCAGGCACACAGAAAAATCCAGAGACCCAGGGGAAGGCTCCTTAGGCCCAAATTG